AGAGGATGAAAGAGACCACCCACGGAGGGTGAGAAGGGAATTTTTTTTTTTTTAAATCTTTTTGTAAACAAAAAAGGAATAGAGGTCCCATTATTTCTGTAAAGCATGGCCTCCTTGCCATGGCAACAGTCAGACTCTGTCCCAGCGTCGCTTCCTTTAGCCTTGGCAACATGCGGTGTAAAACATGAGCTCAGCCTATGTTTTTCCTTGCAGCTTTTTACGTTGTTTGATGCTACGATCTCAGCAGAAACAGCAATAAATCAAGCAGCACTGTCCCCCGCATGGACTGAAGCAAGCAGGTGCTGAATTGGGCGAAGCTTTGAACCTGCTAATCCTCACACAGTAAATATAGAAGCCAGCTGAGTTCAAGCCTAAACAGCGCCGGAGTGACAGTAACTTAATGACACATTGCTCACATATTTCATATAGTGCTGTGTTTCACACCAAGGGACAATGTCTGAAGACACATCTAATCTCCGTCATGTCACTGCATTCACACACGACTTGTTTCTGCAAACGACTTCTTTAACACTTGATACATTTTAACCAGCATGTGAGCACTTTAAACGCACCCCACGCCCTGAAATGTAGTTAGCAGATATTCAGAGTCTGGTTCAGGACAAAAAAAAAAAAAAAAAAAAAACGTGAGCAACACAATGTTGGAGTACAAACACTGACCCTCCAAATAAAGACTGTAACATTACCGCAGTCCGTTTGCCAACCCACAGTGTCCTTCAACAGGCGGTGGCAGGGAGATCAAAAAGGGAAATATGACACACCGGCAACGGACACTGCAGCAAAAATAAACTAAATGTCTCTAACACTTAGTAATACACTGAAAGTACACAGGAGAAAAATGGTAAGATGAAAAAAAATGACTAAATCTTAATAATTTAGAAGAGATTTGATGAGCAATGTACTTTTGTTTTCTTTTTTTCAGGCTCTGGTAAAATATAAAGCATTACTGAATCCGTAACAGACTGGTATTAATGAAGAACAAGAAAATCTTTCATGGCATAATATAGTTAGGATCACTAAAATATTGTCTGAAAACCTTTAGTGCAATCATTTCTATTTTTTTTAAACAGAGAACTAGTTTTGATCACATAAATTTATTCAAACAACTTCAACTACTCTGACTATTCAGACCACAAGAAGAACCCACATTGCAGTATAACCATAAAGTGTAGATCAACTGAGTGAAATTATTCAAGTTCATTCATCTATAGGTATAAAGTTCTGCTTATATCCTTAGCTCCATGTATGTTCAAAATTACAAATATTATTCTTACAAACATTGCATATGCCTAAAACTTAAACAAAAAAATGTCATGGAGCTTCTTTATTCATCTTCCTCTTGCTAACAGAGCATGGAAGTGGACTCCTATACAACCATTGACATTATTTGTTTTACAGGACTGACTTTTTAAATTGCCTTAAAAAGGTCAATCTGAAGTTAAAACTGCTGTCAGACATTCCTGTTTAACACCTTCCATTGTTTGATGAGGCCTGTAGTTCCATATGTCACGAGACAAAACTAATATATCAAGAGCCTGCTGGGATATAAATACAGAACAATGCAAACAATAGCAGCCACCTGTCTTTGTCTGTCTCCATTCAATCTAAGTAAAGAACAAGTCACAGAAGCGGCTAAGAGTTTTCACTTTGCATTGTTTAAAAAAAAAAAAAAAAAAAAAACTCGTACTCCATGCTGTGAATGGAAGCAAACAGCACTTACTGTACGCAGGAACTGGATCTCTTCCTCTCCGTCAGCGCCTTCTGCCATCCTCTCAAGGTGTTAGGAGACAAACCTTGAGAGAAACGGGAATCGGCTGCATTCACGGATCTGTGACTCCGGAGTGCTGTTGTGTTCCAAACATAGAGCAGATTTCTGAGGGACGAAAAATCAATGTGACCCCCTGCTGCCACTGGCTGACCCAGGCTGAGTTATGAGGCTCAGGGATTGACTGTTCATTATTCACAGCTGTTCAGAAACAGCATCACGAAGAGGTGGAGCAAGCAGACAAACTCACATGGCTTACCTTCACAAGATGACAGATACCAATATTTTTGAACTGTTGTAATACTTTTTTTTAATTCATACAATGCAGTTACTAATTTATTTATTTATTTTCTAATATATATATATATATATATATATATATATATATATATATATATATATATATATATATATATATATTAATCCGGTTTGAAGTTGAATTGTCGTTTGCATGATTTTGACCTTCTACTAATTTCTCATGGCAAAGAAGCAAATTTTGTGGAATATATCCTGTTACATGGCGATGGCAGCATCATGCTGTGAGAAAGGATTTCTTCATGAGGCACAAGGAATACAGGACAATCAAGGGTGTGCACAGACAGACAACAGGTGGTGTTAGAGCACCACAATCTTCTTTCCCTTCGGAGGACAAAAAAAAACTTCTTCTTTTTTTCCATTTATGGTGTGTAGCCCGATATAGCACTTCTGCCCCAGTGTATGTGTACGCTAAACGATATTGAAGAACGTCACTAAAAAAAAAAAAAATAGTTGTTTGTTGGTAACCATGTTGTTTTCTTTTGTACAATAAATATTTTAGAATTCTTTTTTTCTGGGTATAGTTGATTTAAAGCTGCAGTATGAAACTTTTATAAAATATGTTGTGACAATATAACATGAGACGGATAGATAATCTGTGGAAAAACTCGATGTCATCTCCCTTTTCCCTGGACCCATCTGTAGAAATACACCTCTAGAAGCAACTTACCATAAAAACTTTATCCGCCATCTTCGAGCCAGACTGTGTATTCCAGGAGCTGAAGAGGGTGCTGAACAAAAAGTAAAAGTGTGAAATATTATATAGGCTTGTGCAATAATTTAAAGAAATGTCCAATACTTCATGGCTTCACTAAAGTTTATATTTGACGGGGTCGAAAATAATAAGAACAATATTAAAATCCTAACGAACCGATTAGCATACCACTAAACATTTTACAGCGAAAAACTACAGTTTTATCTTATTACATTTCGTGTGGAAATGAACGGATGTCTTTACAGTCAATTTCCTCCTGGGGGCAGCAGCGGGCACGTTTAGCATCCATTTCCAGTAGAACAAAAAAAAAGAGTGCAACAGGGAAATAGTTCCCCATTATTTCAAAAACAAACGTTATAAGGTAAGACAGATTTACTTTCTGTTTTCGCTTATCTACTACATTGCATTTAATTAAAAATGTACACTAAACGAAATCATGCCTGTGCTAACTGGTAAAGTTAAAATGTTAGCATTGTGTGTTTTTTTTAAGTTAAGGTTAGCTTATATCTGTGCTGCTAGGTCACTATTATCAGTCAGATTAGCTAGGGAACATGATTTTATCTTAACTTTATTTCGGAAAGTATTGCTGTGATTCCCGCAGACTGCTCTGACATTGGAGAAGAATGGCTTTGATAAGTTATTCTCCACCTCCTTGTAAAACCATGAACGTTCGTAGGCAGAAACTGTGAACGATTAGTTGCAGAAGGCAAAGAAGGAGGAAGATCAGAAAGACCTTGTGGTCGTCTTGTATTTTTCTGTTTGAAGCTTGGTGCCGAGAGGGATGGATCCTCTTGAACACATGCTGACAGACCCTCTGGAGCCTAAAGAGGAAGACGAAAGACAAATCACAGAGGAATGTTTGCTTGGGAACTGTAAGGTGGACCTCCCAGAGGATCTGCTGGAGGATGTAAGATTTTGGATATCTAGAACCTGGAGCACATTTGCAGATGATATTTGCGCTTTTGCAAGCATGCTGATTTTTGTTTCCTTTTTCCATAGCCTGACATTTTTTTCTCTGTGCTGAGTGAAAACACCTGGGATGAAGTGCTGACAGACTCCCAGAGACAACATCTTCAACAGTTTCTGCCACAGTTTCCTGACAACAACACAGAGGAGCAGGATCGCACCATCAGGGAGTTGTTCAACAACACCAACTTTAACTTTGGAAATCCACTCCATCTTGCACAGAGGCTGTTCAGAGGTGCTTTAATATTTTAAAGACAGATTATTGTCTAAGGTCATAAATACTCACATTTTTCAGACAGATTTTGAATATTTCTTGGTTATAAGTGATGCTTTGCTTTCCATTTAATTTGGGAAATCTTGAGTGTATATAACAAAAGGTTACCATGACTTAATTAAAAATGTACACTGAACGAAATTTACCTACCACATCTCTGTTGAAATGTAACTGAATGAACTTTTACTGCGCTTCCTTATTACAATCTTGATCTTCTTCATCTAGATGGTTACTTCAATCCAGAGGTGGTCAAGTACAGACAGTTGTGTGCCAAATCCCAAAGGAAGCGCCAGCTGCATTCCCTTCAGCAGTATTACCACAGACTCTTGAAGCAGATTCTTGTTTCCAGAAAGGTTCAGATATTTATTTCTGCATAGTAATAATTTATTTGCATTTTGCCCACATCTTATTCCTTTGGCTTACAATTCTTTTTATTGTCTTTGAAAAAGGAGCTGCTCGACTTTGCAGTTCAGAACGGTCTGGACTTTCCGCCCAAACGGCGGCTGCCAAACAGGACTCAGGCTGAAACACGCGAGTCGAGAGTGAGAAGAAGACTGAGCCGCATCCTGAAGGAGGTCAAAGCTGAGTGTGAGGACAGCAATGCTTCCTCTGATGATGAAGGTCTGTCTTTTGTTTGAGATCTATCGCTGCAGACGGTATTTCCCTGTATATAAGTTGAAATTTGTGTAGGAATAAGTGTGAGAACAGAAACAGCATAGAAACAAATTTTCTTTATTTTTTCCTAATCCAACTCTCTAAAAATGTTTATTTTAACAATTTCTTCACCTGTTCATTATCCGTCCGCCCATCCGTCCTTCTGTCTGTATCCACCCATCCATAGAAATTTCTGCCATAAATGTATTGAGAGCTTTTTGATTTCTGCTTTTAAAAAATGCTAAAAAAAAAAAAAAAAAAAAAAAAAAAAGGCAACTCCAGAAATTTGAATCTGGAAATATTTTCAAAACTTTGTAGGAAGGTTGTCACCTCAGGGCTCAATACAATTAAACTGAATTTTGATTTCTTATTTCATAAGCTGAATGAAACTGAAAACACCCAAACAGCAGAAAATCAATATAGTAATAAAATATTTCGTTGACCATCACATTTCTGTTTTCCTCCACCGTGTGTCTTAGACACGTCAGTGTGGAATCCAGCCCCTCAGTCTCCTTCCTCTCCCACTCCTACCGTCTCACTCAGAGTTCTTCCTAGCCTCTCTACACCAGACATGAAGATTACAGGTCAGTGAATTTTGGCCTTAAAGGTGACAGCATTGCTTTAAGCCGAAAATGCGTCGCCCAGTGTTCAAGATATTGTTTTTCTTCTTACAGAGAAAATAGAATTGGGGGAAATGGATTTAAAGGTCATGCTGCATCACCATCGTGAGAAAAGGAAACGCCAGCCAGTAAGTTATGATTTGAGCAGAAAAAAATTGCAGGATTTAAACTTGCCTTGTGCATGTTGTGACTATTTTGGTGTCGCAAGGATCATCCAGACTTGATAACCTCTGACATCCACCTTGGGGACGTTCTCTCAAGAGCAAACATTGGTCGGAAGGGAGCTTTGCGTAAGTAAATCTGCTTGAAGTAAACTGCTCTTCCTTTAGGATTTTCACTCAGACCTGACCTCATTTTTATTTATTTATTTATTTTTTTTATCATTCAGCACTTTTTGATCTGTTGCTTCCCAAGAAGAAGATGAGAGACGAGAGAAAGAAAAAGAGACTCAAGGCAATAAAAGTGGAATCTGAGGATCCTTGTGAAATTCTGACTCCTTCAGACTCCTGCTCAGTCCCGCCAGTGAATATCATCAACTCTTTGCCAGAGGCGCCTTCCACACCTCTCGCCAACATCAAGGAGGAGTGAGTCTCGTTCCTCAAGACCATCATCCTGAAGCTTTTAACTGTTGCTTTGAATCTTTGAATCTGAGTCTTGGGTTGTTCATTATTATATTATTATTATTATTATTATTGCAGAATTGTGGAGGAAGCTCAAAGCAGCCCTGTTGGAGTTGAGGAAATAACCGCCAGTTTCTTCAGCTTGTTGGAAAACATCTTCAGAGCAGAGGGTCCTGCCAGTACCTTGACGGTATGTCCTCCTGTTAAAGTGCCACTTTAACAGGAAATACAATCAATTGTGTCGCCGCATAGCTAATATGTTTGTCTCTCAGTTGGAGGAAAAGGTTCAGACTTGGCAGTCCTCTCCAGCCAGTTCGCTCAACACCTGGTTTTCATCTGCCTCATGCTGGTCAGATCTAGTTCTTCAAGCTCTGCAGTTTCTTGCAGGAGAGACTAAAGGTAAACTACAATCAACACTGGAAGCTGAAATGATAAGTTTTGCACTAATTTTTATTTTAAGCCTTATTACTCCCATCATGAATAGCGGTTTTAAAGACGAAAGTTTAAAACTTTCACTTTTTAGTGGATTTCCTTTTAATTCACGCGGGGTTAAAATCAAGAGGTCTTTTAAAACCTGGTCTAACTAGTGTCTGACAATAACACTTTTCTCCAGGAGACATTTGATTTGTCCCTGTTGGACGCTGCGAGTTTCAGTACGTGTTGATTTTAAAGGTGGAAGCTTCTTTTCTGCAACTTGGTAAAGGACATTCAGACAAATATTGCAGGAAGTTAATCATTAAAACCTGAAGTTATAACATTATTTATAAATGTCCAAAGGGTTGAATTTTTATGTTGCTGGAATTGAACCAACAACTCTCCTATTGCAAAACGACTTTATCCTTGATTAATGTGCTGGTATTTAAACTTCTGACTGGGATGTAAGAAGTCAAATTTCTCACTTTTTTGTTGATCAGATGGCATGATGGCGCTCCCGAGTGGCTTTTCTCCGTTTGTGGAGTTTGTTGATGAATTTCAGCAGTGGAGATGGATCGGTAAGACGGCTCGTTCAATGTCTTCCCTTCTTGATGGTTGTGTTTTGTGTCCAGAATGTTTGGATTCAAACCAGTGGTTTCTTTCAGGTCCCACCCAGGACACAGAAAAGGACCTCAGTGCGCTCTGTCAACTCTGGCTGGACTCCAAAGACTTTGTTGTCAAAGTTGTACAAATATTCAGTTTTAGTTTAAAGTACTGTTACGATTTTCAGATTTTCACTTTGTATAACGCTGTTTCTTTGGGGGTTTTTTTTATTGTTATTTTTCTATATAGACAGAAAACGAAGACCTGTTGGAGCTTACATCCTCCACTCCCAAACTGTGAGCTTTTAAACATGTTACCATATTTTGTGGGGGTTTTTTTTGTGTTTTTTTTGCAGCGTCAAAACAACTGTTTATTGCCTTTACTATTACAGTTCAACCGATTATGTGGTGCGGCCGAGCACTGGAGATGAGAAACAGGTGTTTCAAGTTCAGGTTTGTGCGTGCTGCTGCAGTATTTACACTATTTCACACCTAATCTCGACGTAAGCTCTCTAAATTTTATGTTTCGTGCATTAGGAGCAGCAGAGATATAACCAGCCTCACAAAGCCTTTACCTTCAGGATGCACGGCTTCGAGTCCGTGGTGGGGCCAGTTAAAGGCGTGTTTGATAAGGAAATGTCCTTAAACAAAGCCAGAGAACACACACTGCTTCGCTCGGACCGTCCACCATACGTCACCATCCTCTCTCTGGGTTAGAAATCTTTTATCGGGCAGCAACAGTTTGCTGGGTTTTTTATTTTTTAAAGAACATTATTGAAAACCAATCCTGCATCTATTTATCGTTCTTTCTTTTTTTTTTTTTTTTTCCCCAGTTCGGGATGCAGCTGCCCGGTTACCCAATGGAGAGGGAACAAGGGCGGAAATCTGTGAACTTTTAAAAGATTCGCAGTTCCTTGCTCCAGATGTCACAAGTGCACAAGTACTGCGATTGTTTTCCTGTATTATCCTGCTTTTTGTTTGAGTAATGTCAGGGTTTGCGGGTTTACATACCTTTTTTGTTCACTTTGCAGAAATGGATGCTGACTTTGCATTGGACGTTTGTTAATAGACAGTTTCTCTTCCCTTTAGGTGAACACAGTTGTCAGCGGGGCTCTGGACAGACTTCACTATGAGAAGGATCCCTGTGTGAAGTACGACATCGGCCGCAAACTGTGGATTTACCTGCACCGCCACCGCAGTCAGGAAGAGTTCGGTAAGCAGGAATCTGCTCTAGAAAAACACATAACACATAAAACTAGTACAATTTTGAAAATTGAAAGTTATTGTTTACTGGAGATAGATTTGTGTGCTTTGCTTTTTATAATGCTATTTACCAGATTGGTGTACAAGTTTTAGTCAATTCTGTTTCCTGAGCTCAAATCAGTGTGAGGCTACAATGTTCTCTGCTCCATTCAGAGAGGATCCATCAGGCTCAAGCTGCGGCTGCAAAAGCAAGAAAAGCTCAGCAGCAAAAACCCAAACCAGCATCGAAACCGGTGAGTTCACCATCTAAAATGTATTAAATAAAAATGGTCTGCATTTAGTTTTTCACTCTTAAGTATCTACTTTTTTGACTTGACCCACCGTTGGGGGAAAAAAAAAAACTTTTTCATGATGGCAATTTCTAGGTTTTCGGTGGTTTTATCGAGATGTTATTTGAAAAGCTGTATTTGTGAAATGAATGACTAACAATTCTCCCACCTGAGCTTTGGATCTCTGCAGCTTGGTGTTGGTCTAACACATAAAACCTATTGAAGCAATTGAAGTTTGCAATGTGAAAAAGTCTTAGGGGCGTTTTATCATTTGGTGCCTTGGTTTGACTAAATGATTTAGTGCTTTTGCTTTTAGTTACAAAAGAAGGTCATATTTGCATTCATACTGTTAGAAGTCTGGAAGTAAAGACGGAAGCAGCAAAACACCCGGATCTCTGGAGGGCGGACTAGACCTGGGCTGTAATTCTATGTCCCCAGTCCCAACGACTCCCACCCCAAACACTCCCGGGACCCCCAAATCACCTCTGCCTCTCTCTGCTACCACACCAACAAAGACCGGAGTTCCAGACACGCTCAAAACCAGCCCAGGGTCAGTCGGACCGAAGCTTTTCTTTTGCTCAATACTTTGATTTCATCTGCCCGGTTTGAATGTGCATCTTCTTCTTCTTCTTCTCTCTCTGGCAGAGTTCTCCTCGTCTCTCCTCCGTCGCTGCCTCAGCTGGGAACGATCCTACCCACGAGTCAGGCTTGTCCGCCGGCCTCCCAGCCGGTGACTTCCCAGCAGGCAGCTCGGATAGTGAGCCACCTGGCGGCGGGCTCCCTCCCGCAGGTCCGGGTCGTTTCCGCTCAGCCCGGCGGTCTGGGTCCATCGGCGGCCGCTCAGCAGGCCACTCTGGTGCATCAGACTTCACACCAGATCCGGATGCCTGTATCCGTGGCAGCCAAGGGCATTTCACAGGTACATGAAACACAGAGGGTAAACTGTTTGGCTCCTGCTTTTTTATTTACGCTTTAAAAAAAGAAACAAAACAAGTTAAATCCCTTATAAGCAATTTATTTGGGTGAATTACTTGAAAATATATCATGCAGATCTGAGTGAAAGAGAACTGTAGTTTCTGTTAAAATGAACACCAGATTTCTGCAGACACTGTTTGTTCCACAACAGGCAGTGTTACCTGTAGCTCTATAATTATACGTACCCACAGGTGGATCTTCACCTACATGCATTTATAAAGCGCCATTTAAGCATTGTCTGTCTTGGGTTGAGCTATTTTAGGAACTGATCTGATCTGAATTACAAGCAAGTACAAACTGTGATTGCTAAACTCTTAGCATCAGCAGTAAGCTCCCTGCATCTGTCACCAAGTGTGTTTTGCTTTTTTTGTGTCCCGCCTGGCAGCGTGGCACTCAGGATTGTTGTCCTTGCGCCAAGGTGAGGCCCGACAGATTTACTTTCACAAGCGAAGCATTGCAGAGTTTGCTGTGATTCTTCACTTGACGTATATGCACGACTTTAATAGAAATTGTTTTGGGCTTATTTCAAAAGTAATGGAGACAGAAGTAATCTAATTAGAAAAGAAGAGTTAATCCCAGTGAGTCCAGCAACCTGCGGAGAAGTTTGTTAGAGAACATAAACATGAAGACCAGTGATGAGTTGATGTCCGCCTCAATCCGTCTGATCAACACCAATAAAACACATTGAAGTTTTTAACTGTACTGTGACAAAAGACAGTGACATTCCAGGAATATAAACACTTATCATGTAGCTGTACTTTTCTTTTAAACAATACTAATATATATATATATTTTTTTTTCTTTTGTGCAATAGGCTGTTGTTTCTGTGCCTCTAAGAAGTCCGTCTGGTAGCAGTCCTGTCCAGGTTCCAACCAGCCTCTCTGTGTCGGCTCTTAATGTGACCAAGCCTCAGGCCGGATCGCCAGGTAGCCCCGCTAACAACCCCACTCCTCCGGCTGTGCTGCAAGGTGTCACGTCCCCGAACATCAAACAGGTGAAGAATTTTATCCCGGCATGCGAGGCTGACGTTGTGATTGAAAATGCTGGTTATGAAACCAAAATCCATATATCTAAAAAAAAAAAAAAAGTCAGTGATTTCTGAGTTAAAGTTTCATTTCCTGCTGCTTCAGGTTTCCATTACTGGGCAGCTGGGAATGAAGACTCCAGGTGGAGGAGGAATTCCAATAACTGCAACAAACTTGCGTATCCAGGGTAAAGACGTCCTCCGCCTCCCCCCGTCCTCCATCACCACCGACGCCAAAGGCCAAACGGTGCTGCGGATAACCCCGGACATGATGGCCACTCTTGCCAAATCTCCGGTCGCGACTGTAAAGCTCACCTCTGACTTCCTGGGCGGTGCCGCCGCCGGCAGCAAGAGCATATCGGCCACGCTGCATGTAGCGCCGCCTCACCCTTCACCGTCGCCTGCCTCCGCTACCCCACCCAGCACCACGGAGGCGCAGACGGGCAAGTCGGGCTCCGTCGCCTCCACCTTGCTGAAGACTGGAGGAGACACAGCCATAAGGCTGATGCCGACTTTGGCCGTCAGCGTGGCCGACCAAAAGTCCAGGACCTTCTCCACCGTGGCGTCCCCAGACAAGAGCAGCGCAACCATCCGCATAATGCCTGGCCTTGGGGTCATTCCCCAGAAGCAGGGTCAGACCATCACCATGACAACCGCCTGTGGCAGCAAACCTCTAGCAGCGTCTACATGTGGCAACATTGTGACCATGGCAGCCAGCGTCGTGGCCGGAGCTAAAGGCATCACCGTGGCTCCCGCAGCCTCCGGTTCGCCGCTGTCATTGGGAGCGGCTACGGCGACTGTGAGACAAGTCCCTGCTTCGGTTGTTACGACACAAACGGTAAGAAAATGTCCATCTGAAGGTAAAACCGAAGGTCTTTCACCAAAAGAATGTTAGCGTAAGGGTCTAAAGTGTTCGAAATCCTTAAACATGTCACCAACTTCAGTGTGTTTTATTGGAATTTTATGTGAAAAGCCAGCAAAAGTACAGCATCATTGTGAGGGGGATGGAAAAGGATACACAATTTTCAGTTTTTTTGTTAGCTTGTTCTTTTACAAATTAAAATCTGAAGTGTCATGTGAAGTCCCGTTGTGCTTTCTTCACTCTGATACCCCAAAATAAAATTTCATGTTGTAAAACAATACCCAAAGCACCGCACCTTTCAGATTCTTGGTTGGCAAAGAAATTTTAAATCTTGTATCGCTTTCATTCCTCTTCACAAATCGTGTGTGTCAATCAAGCGAAAAATAAGTGAGTTAAATTTGTCTTTTGAAATATGTAAAAGTGTTTGAATACTTTTGCAATTAGGGCCAAATGTTTTTGAGCATTTTTTTTTTCCCCCCCACCAACTTTACCGATTCAGAGCTTCATCTTGTTGTGAGGGGAGCCAAGTTAAACTTCAGTTTAAAAAGGTTTTTATTGAAAAACCTTTGGCCACAGCTGTAAAAGGAGGAGTCGTACAATCACATTGTGGAAGAATGGAGTAGTTCTCACAGAGTTACCAATTTTCTTTCTTTTTTTTTTTTTTTTAGATATTTTGTTTCAACTCGACTATAGAAATCTCATTGCCAATGTTTCGAACATTACTTAAGCTGAAATCTGAGCTGTTAGAAACGGAGATGATCTCTGATTACATCTAATTATAATGCAGAGGGACTCTTACTGCAAATGCTAATCTTGCTCAGGGAGTTATTGATTTCTTCAGTAGCACTTATTTTAAATAATCCACCCAGCTGACCTGGGGGGGGGGCGGTTAATATTTTCTTTGCTGTGATTGCGATCGGTAGGGAAAGCTACCTGCACGGATCACTGTCCACTCCGTCCTCAACCAACCCCTGAAGAGCAAGAGTGTGGTGACGACTCCGATAGTCAAAGGGAACCTCAATACAAAGTGAGTCTGTTTAGTGGCGATTCTGATTGAGTTTAAATCAAAATAAAAAAAATCTTTCTTCAGCCTGAAATTTTTTCTCTTTATATTTTATTCTTAACATGACTTGTTTTGTTTTTTTTTTCCTGAGCAGTATCAGCAGCCTGGGCAGGAACATCATCCTGACCACGGTGCCTGCAGGCACAAAGCTAATAGCTGGGAACAAGCCGGTCAGTTTCGTCACCGCACAACAATTCCAGCAGCTTCAGCAGCAAGGCCAGGCAACACAGGTCAGTACGGGCCACGAAACACAATGACATCGTTCCAGAAAACTGTTTTGCACATTATGGAAAATGTTGTGATCGCTAATACATTCTTTTAAAATTTTCATTATGAATCCATCAACAGATGTTTTTGAAAAATCGATTACATTAAGGAACCTCTTTTTCTTTTTTTGTTTTCAATTCTTATTTTGTTATCTAAATTTGGCATTTATGAATGTAAAAGTATTATTTTATTAGCTTGGATTCCGTTTTATCCATTAACATTGTGCAAGTAAGTAAGTAAAAATAATTTGCTTGGTTGTAGAAATGTTTGCACCTTAATGTACAGTCATTAATGCGCAATGACTGGAAAAGACGAGTAACTTTTCTAGTTTAAAATTCTCCTTAGGCTTTTATTTTATGGGAAGTGTAGCAGAGAGGCATTCAGGATCATTAAAAATAACTTGGTGACTTTGTCTTTGCCCCCACTAATATGCAAGTTTAAGAAACATATTTTTTATTGATAAAGATTATGTGCCAACTGAACATATCAAGTCGCTATGACAACTAGTCAAGGTAGCCGTATGTCGACACGCACATCAAAAGCTTGCAAAACTCATTTATGCTGTATGCTTTGATTCTGAACGCGTTTCACTCACATTCTGTTTTCTTATCTGATTAAATGAAAGTTATCCAGGACATGTTTAGTCTCACCAAGTTAAATCTCCTCAGGTTCGGATCCAAACGGTCCCGACTCAGCAGCTCCAGCACGTGGCAGCCGGTTCCCCCAAACCCGTTTCAACAGTGGTTGTCACGACAGCACCATCACCTAAATGTACACCCGATCCTCCACCTGCTCCTCAGCAATGACCTGACCAGCGATACGCGTTACTGTGAGGGTTGACATGTTTTCTGTTTGAGAGTGTTGACATATTTAAGGTATTTTCTGAAATGTTTTCTCCTTTACGATCTCCACGCTGTTAGTGTAAATTATTTGGAAGCAGAGTGATTAAAACGATGGACCCTTTGATTTCCAGACACTTGCTGTTGAATGAGTTTGTCATTTGAAAATTTTATAAATCGGATGTGGCTGGATTTATTTGAATGTTGTGATTTGTGTTCCCTTACAAGATGGTGTATTTAAAAACGGGTCATAATGTTTCCTGGTTTCCCGTTTCTTTTTTTGAAATCTTTTTTCCTAAAGAACAAATAAACCACAGTAATATCCAGATTTGTCTTACTTTTATTTCAAAAAAGATAAAGTTTATTTGGCCAAACATCTGGCTTGTTTAAACATATGAAGCATTATTAACACACAATGAAATGAAATTTTGATTTAAAACAGAAAATGGAGAGAGCAGTAACCGTCGTTTTACTCTTCATCCGACTCTTCAAGTAAAGCTTTCTGAGAGCTGGTTTTAGAAGAAGTGTTTCGCATTCCGATCTCTACGTCCCGTCCTTTTGCCGAGAATCTTGTTGTGGTTCTGTTGGAACAAAGATAAAGGCAAGGCAGTTTATTTTTATAACCTTTACATGATTTTACTTTGCCACTACGCTGGCAAAGTAAAAGTAAGAGGAAGCAATGGCAGGTTGAAAGTGACTGTAGTTAATGATACACCATTTATTGATCAGAGGCAGCTCTAAGCAAATTGATTTTTAGTGTTAAAGAAACACAATCCCCTAATTTAAAAAAAAAAATCACATTTTATGAATAACTGGTTTTAAGATTCTAAATAAGTTGCTCAAACTGAGAGGAGATGATACATTTAACACTTTCTGGAGATTAATTTAAACAAAATCAGATTTATTCCCAAGACCTGATTACCAAAATATAGCAAGCATTAATTTTACTTTAGAAACTCTAAACGTGCACGCCTTTGGTAAAAACTAAGTGTGCTTTTATTTCTTGGGTTTTGTCAGTGCAGACAAGTAGTGCAGGTAGTGATGTGCCTTTTTGTACCAAACTTTGTCCTTCCACTCAACTTTATATCGATACACTCGAATGCAGCATTCAGGCCTTCTCATTTAGCAAATAGCTCTTATTTATCCTCTTTGTGGAACTTCTCATTGACTGTCTACTGGATGTCTGCCAAGTCACCAGTCTTTTATATGATGTATTGGGAGTTTTCATCCACTGTAAACCACAATCATTCAACAGACAGAAACTTAATTTGATCTATATGAAATCTATCTGAAGATGATTCATAATTAAAATTAGACACACACCGTTGTGAAGTAGAATTTGTTTGGCATATTTAAAAGTATAGAGGGCTCCAAAACCAACCTGGCTTTATAAGAAAAGTGATTTATAATCAACAGAGTTAATTACAGAGTCTTCTCTCTAGCAGAAAACAGGGAGAATCCTTGGCTGCCAGTTTGTGGCTTTAAGCTCAAGTGAATGTGGGTTACAGCTCAACAACCGAAAGGACAACAGCAAATAAGAATGTGCCAAAATTCCTGCAACAGTGATGTAATGACATTGTTATAAACACTTGAGTCTCGTAAGAAAATCGGTTTAATGTGAAGCATTTGAGTGTGACCAAAATAGCTAAAACAGAAGAAATCTGCAAGTGGAAAAATAGCATTTCACAGCACTGGATACCACTATTGTGTGTGTGTGTGTGTGGGGGGGGGGGTTTGGGGGGAGATCCACTGGTCTTGTTTCCACCAACACCTTTGTAAACACTCTGCCCATTGTTCAAGTATTTTCTGCGCTGATGTAATCGAAGTAATTTTCTTGCTGCATTCCAGCACCGGTTAATCTTGATAATGTTAATTTAGAGCCCCACTTAACCGCTGTTATAGTATCTTCTTATGATCAAGCAACTCCACCAATATAGAATTTAAAGCAGAAATCTGCAAATATTTTTGATAAAAAAGACACCTGGATGTTATTCATCCATTTACAAAAAAAAAAAAAACCTCTTGATTCAGTTTGTGAGGAAACCAATTAAGTGTATTCCTAATACTTTATTCTGTTCTGATCTGCGGCCACTATTACTTAACTATTCAACATTTTAAATCCTGCAAAGGTTGATAGACGAGATACTTACAACCAAACTATGGAGGCGGTGAAAGAGACCAAAATTAGAGACAGCGCCAAATGCCAGCAGAAGCACATCGTGACGAACATCATGTTGTCATGTTGCTTCAGGTCCCACTTGTCTCCATTTAAGGGGTAAAGAACAACTCCAACCTGGAACGACAAAGGGAGCCAATAAGGCAACCTTTACAAGTCATATTTGGTTAAGTTAGAGGCAAAATTACAGCTGAATTTAACAAGCATGCGCGGATTAGGATTGTCTGTCTTCCGCTTTGATTTCTGCGCATTTCAGTCCAGTCCACGTTGAGAAAAGTTTAAGCACTAACCCGCCACAAAAACTGATTGTTTGGGGTGAAAAACGTTTTAAAACAGATAATTTGTTTTCACTTTCTGAATGTATACCTTCTAGTTCTACTGTAAAGGGATATCATGGTACCGAGAGGCCTCACGTAGCTCCTTATAGCTCATCACTGATCTACAGTGTCTTACAATCGCGTCTGCAACCGTTGAACTTCCTTGTGTTGGTCATTTTGAAGCTACATACTTTATATGTGCAGTATGTAGCTTTAAAATATGTAGCTTTACAAACCTTTTGTTTGTAAAGGACTTTTTTTCCCCCTTTACAAATTAAAGTGAAAAGTCTTCAGCACCTGTGAGTTAGTATGTCAGAATTATCTTCTGTCTTGGTCTCTAGATTCTTTGAACATTTACACACTACCATTCTTGCCTATTCGTCATTGCAAAAGTCACTAAAGCCAAGTCAGAGTCAAATATGCTTTAAAAAAGCTTGAGAAGTTTTAGGTGTGTGAATACTTTTTCAAATTGCCCGTAAGTCAGCAAGATAAGGTAGACGCTAAATAACACAAATAGTCAGACAAGATAAAATCTCCTTTCTCGGATCACCTGGTAGAACCAAGAGCCCTGCAGCATGAACATGTCTGCCCTGAAAAGCTCCAGAAGAATGTTGTTTCTTATGAAGACCTCCAGCATGGTGCTGGCCGATCCGGCGAAGACGGCATACAGCAGCAGGGTGTGGACGTGAGCATCCAGGGGCTCCCGGCCGTGCACATGGTACAAGAAGAGAAATCCTGGGTGATCCAAATAATATCGTGTTACACACATCGGAGATGAGCAATGAAAAGCAAAAAAAACAAAAAAAAAACAACAAAAAAAAAAAAGTTATTTACCTTCAACAAAAAGAGCCAAGGAGAGAGCAAGGCGGTCGGCACCAACCGGCACCCGTTTGGTTCTTACGCTGGCAATCAGCACTATTCCTGAGATCCCAAAGAACAAATACATGGTGCTGTGCTGCCAGTTCATCAACTTGACCCATGAGGAGTTCTCCCGATCATAGAGGCGGGCGTGTGGACCGTCCACAACAAACTGCTCCACCATTATGCCTGTCACAGTCAAAACAACATGCAAATCAGATGAAGGGGCGATGTAGCATTTTGTGCTGTAGCAAACCGCAAGCTTCACCACGTGGGATATGATGTTACAAACCAACCAACATCATATCCCAGCTGAAGGAAAGTGAATCTTGGTTTTCAACCTTTTATTTTTCTTTTTCCAAACAATACTCAACTTAGTCCCCTTTACTTTTAAATCAAAAAATAAAAAGCAGTCAAGGAGTCTTTGCCAAGTAAGGAGGAGCTGCAGGTCAAAGAATGTTCTGATGTAACCGTTCCAGTTGCATTTAACAAATTTGGACTTTGGGGAAGAGTGGAAAGACTGATGGCAGTGTAAAAGTGAACACTATGTACATATTTATGTACTAGAATGTTCTCCACCCATCTCACTGATCTATTTTTCAAAAATGAAGGGGGCAAAAAAAAAATCAATTCAAAAAGAACTGCAGCTGTAATTGCCACAAATTGGTTGAAAACAAATACCAGGATTTGTAGATTTTTATTTCCCTGCAGCTTCATGTTGTTCTATCACATAAAGTCCAAATAAAATACATCAAACGTGTTTGCATAGCAAAGATTCAAGACGACCGATGGAATTAGCGTGGGTTTGAAGGGAAACTGACCGACAAATGATGCAAAGATTTTGAATCCTCCTTCAACGTATTCCATCCTCCTTAAGAAAGGAGGCATGCCCTGTCTTCCTTTGGGTTGGCTCGTCCTCCAGTAATGTTGCAGGACATGCTTCACTGTTAGCCAGAAGCCATACAACAAGAAAAAAGTGCCTGGTATAGCGTGTCCTCCAAAGTTGGCCATTGTTTGGCCTGAAAACAAAAGAAATGTAGTTTTGCTTAGTCATGTCACAAACAAACACACAACAGATTTTATTATTATTATTTAGGTCAGCTTATCTCTTCTGCCATAAAAACCATTCAGCTTGGAGATGTTAAGTTATGAAACTCGCTAACCTGCTTGAACAACAGCATCTGGCAATGGAAGACCCACATTCCTCAGATGTTTAATGTCATTGAACAGGAGTTTAATTTATAAACAGTCAGGAATATCCTGCATCCGACCCAAACGGGAAGGGTTTATTTACCGACAGGATAGTCTCTTATTTGTCTTGCAAAACTGGCATTCAAATCTCACCTTTTTTTTTTGCTTTGTAGGCAGAGCTGAAAAAAAAAAATTAAAACAAGATTCCAGACTAACATACTCCAGTTTCTATAAAACAATGTAAGGAAGTTAGTCTTCACAGATTTTTTAATATATACATATATATATATATACACACACAGACACAGGTGTGATACTGGGCATACACCAACATACTCCAGTTTCTATAAAACAATGGAGGGAAGTTAGTCTTCACAGATTTTTATATATATATATATATATATATATATATATATATATACACACACACACAGGTGTGATACTGGGCATACACTATGGGTGTGTACAATCACCTCCTGAGTCAGGTAGACAAGTTTTTCCTGATCCGCCTCGTTTGACACTACGTGACTTCTGCGTTACCTACATCTACTCTAATGCCAGCATCAAGAAACCTGAGCATGACAAGCACAAAGCAGAGCAAACTCCATTTCCTGAATCAGGTGAGCAGCTGATTTTACATGAGCTAAATGTTGAGATAAACATCTCCTTTTCCAATTTAATGGCTAAATTAAACATACCTTTTTTCTCTCAGCTGTTTAATCCCCCAAAAAAGCTTTTAGTTCTCCCTGCCGGTCAGATTCACACCGAGAGCTCCCTGCTCTGTGTAAACCGTGCACACCTGTTGCGTTTCTTCCCTAACCTGTACTGCCACAGCACATAACCACACCCCTCATTTGCAACGGCTTCAGTGAGCAGAAGCACATCCCTCTGAGACGCATCCAGGCAGGCAGCGTCTGTTTACGCAGGCATTCATTTAACAAAAGCAGCGCGTGCCACCTGAAAACCCACTCGGGTTTTTGTGGTTTTACAAAAAAAAAAAAAAAAAAAAGCTTTTTAAAAATATATTTAGATCATTCCAGTAATTATCTAAATTAAAAAAAATTAAAAAATCTCCTTTGCATTTCCTTTTTAGCTTTTGATAAACCGTTGGCACTAAATTAAAAAAAAAAAAAAGCCAAGGCAGTTTCGAGAGATTTAGAGGAAATGACATGCATGCAGTGAAAACAGAGATATATGATTTGGTTAATGTGTAAACCGTGTGCACAAGGCAACAGTGTTGGGCTGTTCAAATGAACTTTGCACTCTGTTTCAATAAAATTTTATTGCCACTGTATCATGCCGAAATGACGATCATTCATTCGCATCTGGAAAGTCACTAAAGATTGATTTAACAGTAATGCACAAAAAAAAAAAAAAATATTCTGCCGACTTTTCACAAAGGAGTTAGAGTATGACACAGAATAGCTTCTTCTCTCTGAAAGGGTTCTCCGATGAAGCGACAGGAGTCACCAGAGGGTCTTCTTTAGCGTGAGATTCACAGTAGGACATCAGCTCTGCTGCTGCTTTGGATATCTGTGGAAAAAAATAGGTTGTTAAAGATAGGACAACATTTTTGGACATATTTGATTATATTGATTTGACACTTATTTCATCAAGCATTGTGCAACAAGAATTACATTTAAAACCATGTCTTAATTTGAATCTGTCAATATTTTTCACAGGATTATTCCAAAGATGTAGATATTCCATATATAAATTGAATACTTTTTTTCTTCTAGTGTCTTTTGACGACATTTGCTATAAAGTAGCACTTTGTAAATAAACTGAACTGAGCTAAATTGAATTTTAAAACTGTTTTAATATACAATATTGATTGATAGATAGATAGATAGATAAATCTTTATTGTCATTGTCACAAGAACAACGAAATTTAAAAAGTGCCGTCAGTCAGTGCATATGCTTAAGAAAAAAAAAAAAAAAAAAAAATCCTTTGTTTTTGCAGATTTAGTGAAAAAGAACATTTAGGTAGCAAAAAACTTACCATTTTCTGACAACCATGTTATCTTTTTATGTAACTTATCAGAACATTCAAGAACTACAAAGTATTAGGTGTCAAAAATACTTTGTACAAAATGGAATGATTCATTTCAAGTTGATTCTATGAGTTTTACACTTAAGTTTAAGGTTATCAAAATTAAAATGCGTCATGTTTTTTTTTTTTTAAAGAAATAAAAATTTTACAAGTGTTAACCTATTCCTCCAGGAAACATCAGGTCTGGTCAATCTAAGTCTTGAGGATTTTAACCACAGAGGATTAAATACAGTTCGGGTTCATTCAAAAACGCTGCAACAGCATTTTAGTGCCAGATAAGAAGCTGTGATATATGGCTACCAACTTTAGCATCATTGGTCAGCCAAGGTGTGTGGGCATGTTTTCCCACCTACTGGGAAAACATGTAGGCGGTTTCCCAGTAGGAAAACACCTACATGTGAAACAGACTAAGTTTGGATGGAAAGTTTCCTCATTCCATCCAAATGAGGAAACTTTAAAACTCAACTTTTTGCTTCTCAGTTGCTCGTGCCACCACCTTAGATAGTGACCCATTTCAAAAACCTGTCACTGAGTACATATAGACACAGGGTAAACTTCGACGATGATTTATGCTGACGTAATTAAGGTATTGACTTTTATTTGTAGTCCCATTAGATGCTCGCTCACCATCATCCTCTCTATGTTGACCTCCAGCTTCAGCTGCTCCACTGTCTTTCTTGCATCTGCAATCTTGGCCATGTTGTTAGACATCTTCCGCTTTGCCTCTGAAACCTGCCGCCCTGCAGCAAATTAAAAAGTGCATTGCGGACAGAAAGAGGAGAAAACTCTGAATCACATCTAGTCAGCAACTCATGTGAAAAGCACAGCTTAGAGTCTGTTTCAATTTGCTTGTTAATTCTGCTCCCTGGGTCTCAGCTGCCAGTGGTGCAGGGAGGGTCTCAAAGGAGGAGGGCAGGAGAGCGGAGGCAGAGCCCTCCCTGGGGGCGTCATCCGGCCACCGGGAGTAAATACATTTTACATTACCATGTTACTCTTAAAATATATATATACATATACATATTTATATTATATATAGCCAATTTAGCTTAGTGCAATGCTTCCACTTTTGTTTTAATACAATGCTGGAGCTCCTTTTGAATGAATTGCATGTAATATTAGAGTGCATCCAACAACAGAATTAAAGAATTAAAGTTAACACTGCTCACCACAAATAAGAAAAATGTATTTAATGTATCAGTATACATGAAAGTCAGCAGAAACATCAATTGACTTGTTTTTAAGTTGATATCCTTTGAAAAAAAATACTAACAGTTATATCGTTCAATTAATGCTTTTTTCCCCCTCACAATTAGAAAAAAAATTTGTACTTACCACCAAGACAAATTGAGCAGCAGCTGGGTTCCTGCTATCAAATCACTCTTATCTTCCACAGGGTTCGCCACACACAAAGCAGTAACAATGAAGTGAGATTAATAGCAAGAGATGAGGAGGAGGAAGGCTTCAGTAGGTTCCCTCCTTCAAACAATTAGCACCGGTGGCTCTGCCTCCAGGATTGGCTCCATGCAGCCGTTGAAGGCAACCTGTGGTGCGACCTTCATCTTCTAAGTCTCCATTTGTCTCTCACCTGAGATGACAGCCAAGCTGAGACAGAGCAATAGTTAAAAAAAAAAAACAACATAGAGGAATATTTTTGAACTTATAATGACATTATTACACCTGAAAGCCTGACAAAAATTGATGTTTAAAAGAAGAGAGGAAGATTGGAAAATATCAGGAGACGTATTTCTTTGACATAAATTTTCCTGTTAAACTACATTCCCAAAGGAAGTATTTATAAATCATTTGGAAATAAAAATTAAGTACTTCCATTTTTTTCTGTACAATAGACTTTTACACTAGGAGTAATGATAAGGGAAAGTAGATCTTTTCCCTTATCATGGCCTTTATTTTCAGTAAGGACTGTTCTCTTAGAGCAGTGTTTCTCATGTCCAGTCCTCACACCCTATTGCCCTGCCTGTTTTAGGTGTTTCCCTTCTGCCACACACCTGGATTGAATCTGTGGGTGATTAACAGCCCTATGTAGTTCTTGATGGTCATGCAATCATTTGAATCAGCTGTTCTGTAATAGAGGCACATCTAAAACATGCAGAGCAGGGGGGGCCTGATGACTGGAATTGAGAAGCACTGTTTAGAGGAAAGGAAAAAAATAAATAGAGTGATCTGTATAATTTTCATTATTCACCTTAAACATCTTTTGATGCCCCACCTCATAATTATTACCTGACAAAATCTGGATGTGATATTTTTTGTCCAAAACATATATGTGTGTGTGTGTGTGTGTGTGTGTGTGTGTGTGTGTGTGTGTGTATAATTTCTCTTTATTTACTGACATTCTAAGAGGCTTTACACTGTGTTATTGTTTTTATTCATTTATGTGATATTCTTTCATATAATGATAGCACACTCAACTGACTTACTGTCTTATTATTTTTTATGAACCACAACAGTTTTTGGAAGCTAAACAATTCAATTGGTTTGCATTGTAAATAATTATACTAATGAATTGTTTTATAGATAAACATTTCATCTAATTGTACAGCATGATTTAAATTTGTAGAGTTTAGAGGAAAGGCAATGATACTGAACATTAACAAAATGCATAAAAACCTCTGATTTTGAAAAAAGTGGAAAAAAAAAATCAATTATTGGTGGAATTTGGCAAATAGACACAATTTTGTTTATATTAGGTGACCTCAAACAGGAAACTCTTAATCTTATTTATTGTCTGACAACTAGAAAAAAAACTATAATGTGTCTCTTTATAAAGAGTAAATATCTGGTTTCAATAAGCTGTAACTACATTCCCTCAAAGGCTGCCAGTCTTCCCTGGCTGTTATTTCAAGGAGCAGCAGGGGGCAAAGTGACAGTATTATGGAGTTAAATGTCAAGTGCCTCATTAACATTTGTTTCCCTGTAGTAATTGGCTTCCCTTCATGAGGGATATGGAGACCTTATGAGTAAAAACAGCTACAGTTACCAAGAACCAAAATCCTAAATAAGCTAGTTGTGTGGTATTATTCATTTCTATATGGTTAGAATCTTATTTAATAACATCATGTCACTGTAAATATGTATTAACTTCTCCGTGATGCCAGTCAAGATACGTCTTGTCTCATGCTGTTCACGTGTGATTGATGCTGCGCAGCTTCAGCTTTAAAATCATTAAAAGATTTCTTAGTAATGTGGGAGAAGCAGAACTTGAAAAGTTAAGATTCAGTGGAAAGAAAGTTATTTTCAATAAACAACAAAAATAATCTCTAAATTCAAAAAAATAGAGCCGATAGCAAAGCATGGTCCATTTTGATGAAACTGTTTGTTTTATATATGTATAGCTAATTAATAATTATATAGATCTGTCACTGATGATACAGATTCCCTACATCATAATAACTTGCACTTAATATCAGAAAGACTTCATGAATCATATGTAATAATATTATACAGTGTTGTATTTTGTTTTAAAGTATGGATTGGAGTATGGATTTACATTGTGGGACTTAACAACATGCAATGTTTACAAAAAGCTCACCGAAGGAAAAAAACCCTCCTAATTCTGCTTTGCATAAATTTGAGTCTATGACATCACAAGAAACACAAGAATATATTGATCACTATGGCAAACAATCGACTTCTGATAGATTTCAAAGCACTTCAGTTGTGAGGGGTTCAACCTTATGTGCTAAGTATATCTGACAATGTAGTTTAATCAGTCTTTTTTTTCTATTTGCTCAATTTTGGACAGAAAACATTTTGACTGATCCAGCTGATCCCGTTTTTCAAGGTGTCTACATTATGCTTTTTCTTACCACTAGATGGCGTTAAAGTTCCCCAAATAGGACTCCAGGTGTAAGTTAAACGACATGATTTATCACTAATTACTTTTTTTTTTTTTTTTTTGGGGGGGGGGGGGGGGGAGGGGGCAACTATAAAATTTTTACTATTTTATTTTGTTCACCACAAATCTCCAACCACAGTAACAACTTTGTTATTTATTCTTATTAAACGTTTTTGTTTTAATGTCCCAGATTGAACCAGGTTTAGCCTAAGCAATCCTGACTGAAATGCTCCGTACAAGTTTTTCCAGTTCTTCCAGATGATTTATTTTTCCACATTATAAAACCCAAAACCAGCTTTTCTAGCTTGTGGCCTCTGCTGCTAAGTATATGACACATCTTTGCCTCGTTTTTTTTTTTTCTTTCACAAGCAGACAGTTAGAACACTCCCCCATTTCTATTTGTTAAACTGCTATTGCAAGTTTCAAATACAAGAATAAATAACAGTCTGTGTTATTTTGGTTGTTGTAACCAGAGATTCGTCGCAAATTGTTGATCTGACTTTGTACTAGCTGCAGCTGGTTTCCCTTGTATTAAACGACATGGGCATAAATCATACCTGCCTATTACATGTTTTGCTCAGCAATCAGAACATATTCCATGGTTTAAAGACATGTCTTTTAAACAACATTAAATCATGTAAAAGTCTTGCAATAGTACCTCAAAAATGGTCTTTGTCAATTAAAATACTATATGGTATAGACTCTTGAGCTATACTCTAATTTTCCTTCTTATGTCACTGCATTTATTTAGCACTGATTGCTCTAAAATTTAGGATTTTAACTGATAAATAACATAATCTTATGTTATGATCACATGAAGTAAGCATGATGACTAACAATAATGATATTGCACAGAATTTTCAGTTCCATTAAATATTGCGCAGTTGGGGGATAAATAGAGGTAAGTCTGGGGTTTAGGGGGGATTTAGACTGCACAATCAATGCATGTGTGAGTTCAGAGTGATTTTGGCATTTGGCATAAAGCTGTTCTTGGGTGCGTTTGTACTTTTTGTGATGCATCTACAGCGCCTCCTTGAGGGCAAACAGGTCAAACAGAAGAAAGCCAGGATGGGAGCAGTCCTTAAATGTGACGGTGGATCATACCGGTAGGTTTTGCTTTCCTATCTTAATTGTCAAGTGTAATTTGTAAAAGTAAAGTAAAATAAATACAATTTTAAAAAAATATGGGGCCTTGGGAAAAATCTAATTAATCCCCCCCGTCCCTTTCCCCCTACTTTCTTTCCGACTAATATATCAGCATCACGAACAGTGTTTAAATATAGATTTAGTGAAGTCTGTGAGAGGGGGCCCAGGTTAACTAGCCAAGCTTAAAATCTGTCACTGGTTATTGGCTATTATTTACTGTAATGTATCTGTGACCAAGCCCATCTCAAACACAAAGATTACAGACAGCACCATATTGTAGCCATGGTAACATGACAATCAAACTATCAAGATGACTCTGCACTTTTGCAAAGTAAACTTCCTAATTAAATTCTAAATGTACAATTTATTTGTTTATTATATTTCTGCTGAACACATTAAACAAAATTTAATAGATTGTCATTCTCAATAAATGAATGATAGAATTGGTCTGTGTTACAATTCAAACACTTAAAGGGGCCCCTGAAGGTCTGGAGGGGCCTAACAGCAGCTATTGAGTTTTCTTTACCTTCATATCTCTGTCTTCTAGATCTCTGAGGTGCTAACATTGAAAAATTATGTTGAGTTAATCCTTCTGAGCGTTTTTGATCTTTAAAGCAGTCTGCAGCAAAGTTGTTATGGAGGTTAAGCTGTCATATTATTAGGGTATTATTAGGGTTTATTTAGTAAAATAGCAGCAAATTTGCTTATTTCATAACATATGTCATAACCAGTGATGTTCTCTCCTATGCTCTGTTTAAAAACTATAGTCTAACATCAACACAGCCCTTCACCACCATCAGCAGCAGAAACCCCTCAACAGCAACATTATACCTCTCGTGGGAAACAGATTAAATTTGCTTTGCAATGACACATACAGCATGATCCGTTTAGATTTCAGATTCTTTATTAATATGGGTTGTTGCTGCCCCTCCAAAGGTCCATGTTTGTTCTTGAAGATGTAAATGTCCATCAGTGACAACCAATGTTCTTCTGTGCTGCCTTTGCTTCTCTCTAAAGCCTTTTCTTGTCTGGCATGGTGGAGCATCCATAACCTACTGTGATGCAGAACGTCATCAGACGATTGTGAGGGGTGTGCAGTGAGTTTTTTGTAACTACAGCCTACATATTTGTATTTGGAGGAAAAACAGAAATTGGGGGAAGTCTGGATGAGATTTATATTTGGAACAATTTCTAAACAGATCATGCGAGGTGGTGATACTTCATCTGGTCTTTCTGTGCATGCTCCATTCCAGTACCGCCCTGGGCAACTGCCCATAGGACAAATATCTAAACCCGACACTGGTTGTAGCCTAACAAGATGTAGAAACGTTCAAGGGGTATGAGCACTTTTGTTTGACACTGGAGATTGGAACAAAAAATAAAACACTTTTAAGATCTTTGAGTTTAACGTTACGGTAGATGGAGCTACATGCTCTGTGATAAAAACCATATATCTGCATAAAACCAAATCAAGTTAACTTCTATAAATCGGTTAGCCTTTGGGGGTTGTACCATCATCATAAGTGAGGTGGGCGTGAAGGGACAGTTCACTGCTAGCTAGAATGACAAATAACCTTGTGAGTAGTGAGCTAAAAAATCAGAGGGGGGCTGAATGCAGCTCGGTAGCTGAGTTTCTGCAAAGGTTCTGGCGAAACTAAACCCTTTCCGCCTCTCCTAACTCCGTCAGCTGAACGCAGCTTTCGAGCTAGCTAGTTGGAGTCTCCAAGTTACAGCACAGAAGAACCGCAAGAATGGGACGGTGATTCAGCGTGCTAGCTAAGAGAGAGGGGTGGGAAAAAAAAAAATCAGCCTGAACGCAACACAGACTGATGTTAACGTCCACAGTTTGTCTGTAGGGCTGTGTCGTTTTCGGTCGCCGTTAGCCGTGTTTTATCGCCGGGGTTTCCTCCAACAAGATGT